TATATAAACATTTCCTTAACTTTTACAATAACGGACTAATACAATATTTGTCCTTTTGTGACTGACTTATTTCGCTCAGCATAATGTCCTCCAAGTTCAAGTGGATGATTTCTTTACTAGGCTGTGAGCTTCTCTAGAAGAGGGTCAAAATCTGATTCTGCTCTGTACCTTTGGTGCTCATCTCAACCCTGGCTCTCCATACTTTTAGGAGGAAGTGAAGAACCAGATGCTATATTTGTGTGAGGCTCAGAGTCTGGGATTCTTGGCATTCTTGTAGTGGTGGGGCAAAATTCTCTCTTTAAAGAAGAACATAACCACAGGGAGGAAGTGGGAAGAAAGGTTTTATATGGTGGGGATTGCAATCAATGTCATGAAACAAAATGTGTACGAACTTTTGAATGGAAAATTAATTTGCTCTTTGCTCTGTAAACTTTCACCCAAATCACAAAGAAAGAAGAAAACAAAACAAACAAACAAACAAACAAACAAAACCCTCTATGTTACAATAGCCACTAGCATTTGAGCAATTTCAAATGCTAGTGGCTTATGAATAAGCACAAGCTCAGAGGATCCTGGGAAGGTCCCTTCTTCCTGTATTTGAGCGCTCAGCTCAGTTTATGAAGATGATTCTGGTCCTCCAACTGCTAGAAATTTTGTTCCTTGTTCCCCAATACTTCACACTGATGACTGCTTTCTGCCCTGCCTGCTTCATCTAAGATTGCCCTCTTCAGTGCCCAGCCTGATTTGGAAAGCATTTCACCTATGAACTCAGATCATAGAAAATAATCCATTAAATTTTTCTTTCAGTAAAATTTTATTTTCTTTCATTCCTTCCGCAATACACATTAAATATCTACTATTTGCTAGGTCTGATAATTCAGTAGTGAATGGGAAGTATGCAAATAAAAACAAGAGAAGAAAAATAATAAAATTATAAATCGTGTTAAGTACTCTGTTGCATGTTATCTAGTAGAGCACATCTAGCTAATGTGGCCAAAAAGATGATCTCACTGGGGAGATGACACTTAAACTGAGAACTGTCCTCTGAAGTCAGCTTTGTAGAAAGCGACAGGCTGTGCAATGGCCCAAAGGCTGGAAGGAGCTTAGAAAGAGTCATGACACCAAGAGTATGGCCAGAAGATGAGCAAGGGGGGAGGGATGCAAATGGAGAGATTTAAAGGTCTTTTTAAGGCAATACACAGCGACCCTATAGGACAGAGTAGAACTGCCCCATGGGGTCTCCAAGGCTGTAACTCCTTAAGGAAGCAGACTGCCCCCTCTTTCTTCAGCAAAGGTTTTAACCCCAGCAACTCCAGTGTTCCTTGAGACAAGATTAGATTTACATTTTTAAGAAGTGCAATCTGGCTACCCTATCTTTCTAATGTAAAATAAACTCTGTATTTCTCCTACAAAATAACGAATGTTTAGCATTTCTCCTTCAAACTTCCCAAATCCCACTGGGAAAACGTTTTTAGGCCCTTCTGACTTTGGCCCTAACGGCAAAATACAGCTCCTCTCCTCTCCAGAGAGAGGAATCTTTTCCTAGGAGTTGCAAATACCCGGAGGCAGGGAGGAACCTGGCTGGTTTGCCACTTGAAAGGCGCTGAGAACGTGGGGGAGTTGGATGAGTGCGGACACAAGAGAGGCAGGTTAGGTCTAGACTTGGAAAAGCCTGGGAGGTAGATAGACTAGAGTGAAGATTCAGATCTTATCCAAAGAGCAGTGGTTTTGAGCAGGGAATGGCAATGATTACATTTGAATTTCGAAAAGCTCCCTTTCTGTAATCGAAGAATGGATTGGAAAGAGGAAAAGTAATGGGGTGGAGGAGCCAACTGTCCTCTGGGAGAGAGGTCTTGGTGTCCAAGACTGGCGTGGTGGCATTGAGATGGAGAGAAGTAGGCTTCCAAGACGCATTTAGGAGGCAAAATTAACAGGTGTTAATAGTGTTCAGTCCCCGGCCTCTCGTGATCACTGTGGTTATGCGTGTGTGGAGACTTCGTGTGTTGTTGCAGGGCGCCAGCGGGTTCCCGCGCCTCAGGGCAGTGGGCGTGGCCCGCGGGAGCCGTAGCCAAGGCGATCGAGTGGGGCGGGGCCGAGGGCGGGGCAGCTGGGGCACTGCGTCACTCGACGGTGGCGATGGTGCGTGTGTGTGGGGGGCGGGGGGTACGCTGGGCGCGTCCCGGGGGTCACGTGGTGCGCAGCACGCAGAGTCCTTCTGTCGGTTGGTCCTGGAGCGGCGCAGCCGGAGCGGGGCCGTGAGGTGAGCTCGCGGCTAGGCGAAGCCAGCTGGCGGGGGTGGGTCGGGCCCGCGCTGTGCACGCGCCGTGCGGGCGGGGACGGTGACGGACGCCACTACTGCTTCAGTCTCCTGCCCGGCCCCAGTCCCCGTCTGGCCCCGCTCGCCCAGCCCGGAGGGAGGCCCGGGGACCGCTGCTGAGAGCGTGGCGGGCGTGCGAACGGTGCCCAATCCTCTGGGCTGCCTGCGGGAGTGACGGCGGCTGCGGCCAATCAACGTTGCCCGAGGGGGCTGGGCCGCGGGGTGCGGGCCCGGGCGCGGAGCGGGCCGTGTTGTGGGGGTGGGGGTAAGCGCTAGGGCTCTAGCCTAAGGTGGGGGGCCCCCAAGAACCCGACCTCCAGCCCCTGTTTCTGCCTTGTGCTTTGTGAAGTGTTTTCTTTTATTGCTCTTACCCTATTCTGGTGAGGACACTCCTTTCTCAAATCCCAGAATATGGGAGTACCCCCTTTTTCTGTAGTTTTAAAAATGTAGGGAGCATACCCTCTTTCTTACTATTCATCTCTAGGGCATTATCTTAGTTTCCAAAGCCTCCCCAAAATGAGGGTGTACCCACTTTTCCTACCCCCTCCCAAAACTGAGAGCACACTCTCATTTTTGAGCCTCCCAAGCTGGGTATGCACTGCCTTTCAAATTTGGGGGTTCTCTTAGTTAACCAATCCCTCAAATCTGGGTCCAGGATCCAGAGTTTTGAGCTACTTTTTTTATTCCCATAAAGCCAAGAAAGAATTGCCTACCAACCTTTGCAGAGTTTTTAAATTTTGGGGCCACTTCATTTTCTCAGCCCTTCAAGTCAGAGGCTATATACCACATTTCCATAGTCTTCTGAAAATGAAGTCCAAATCTTGAAGTTAAGAGCACTTATTTCCAGTTCTACAAATGTGGGAACTCGCTGCCTTTTCCAGTCATTATATTCTTGGGTTGTACCCTTCATAAGAGTTTCCCAAATCGAGCTACTTTATTTCCTGGGAAGACACCTTATTTTTATAGAGTGTATTTGTTTCCTGTGCCCCCAAATGTATGAAATGCATCTTTTTTCCTTATCGATGATGCTTAAATCTGGGGGGCACACCTTTTTTAAGAATCTCCTCATTCTTGCGTGGTGGCCTGTGGTTCTTAAGCATGTCTCCATTCCATAATTCCCTACACTTTTTAGGTTTTCTAACATCCAAGGAAGATATTTTCATTCCTCAGTTTACTTCCCTCTTTGGAACCACATTTCCTGCTAAGTACTCTGCCTGTCTGGTTGAGTGCACCCCATTTCCTCTTCCTTCCTCTGGTAAGTGCATATCTTTCTTCAGCACACCAGTTTCTGCTTCGTGGCCCTTTTTTTGAGCACACTTCCTATAGTCACACCTTCTGAATTCTCCCTCTCAAGGGAAGTTCTCCCCAAAGGGGTACCTGAAGGTTACATTTGGTAACACTCTCTGCATTTGGTGTACTTACTTGGCTTGCTCTATCCCTGAGCATTTTTCTCGTTTCTAACTCTTTGGGTATTGCTTTGCTTGTCCAGTGGCGGTAGAGATTTTTCCCTTCTTGCCCTTAACCATTGAGGTGGCCTCAGGTCAGTTCTTGGCCCCCCAGCATTGAATTAAAAATGGAAAGGAATCTCTTTGCATTTCTTTGATTGTCCACTAGACTCTTAATCCCCTCCCCTCGGGGTTTGCTTTCTATAACATACTGGTTAGATAGATAAGGTTTTCTCCTTTCCGTTATTTTCCTGCTGGGGGGAGAACCTCGAGATTTTTCTAGCCCATAAGCTCCTTCTCTATGTAGCTTTCCCCTTTTATCAAGAAAAGAGGTCATTGGAGTAATCTCTTGGTTGCTCTTTTTGTTCTTGTCCCTGGGGTGGAGATGGAGGATGGATACTTTCCCTCCCTGATCATTCTCTCCTGTAAACTGCTAAACTTTCTCCAGACCCCATCCCCCAGACCGCCACTTGGAAATCTACAAATATCTTGCCTTTTATCTCTGAAGAGCTTCTCTTTTGTATTTCCCTCTGCCTTTCCAGATCTTACTCAGGACTTCTCAGCCTGAACCCCCAGATTTATTTCTCCACAGCTGGAATCCCAAATGCTTATGGGATAGTGACATTTCTGACCTTTCTCCCTCTTGGGAAGTACTTGAGGGAGGAGCTGTATGAGGCTTCAGTGGGGGAGAGATTTTGGGATTGAGAAGCTGCACTGGCAGGAGAAGGCCGGAAAATACTGCATTTTTAGTACCAAGTCCTTCTGAATCGAATTTGGAGTTTGGATGTTTGCCAAGCACCTGCTTCTTAGGGATGCTGGGGAATTTAATGATACTTCTAGGAACCTGTAGGAATTAATGGGGCTCGTGGAGAAGTGCTCCGAACTGAGTGTTAGAACTTGAATAAAATTAACCATTATTGTATTTTTCAGAACAACTAAGCTGTTGTATATTTTACATGCATGAAAGCTCTAGAGTTAAGTTTTGTTGTTTCAGAAAGTGAAATAGATCTCACATTTAGATCCCATGGTCATTGTTGTTGTTGTTATGTGCCATCGAGTCAGCCCTGACTCATAGCGACCCCTCCTTGGGTTTTCGAGGCAGTATCACTACGGAAGTAGGATTGCCCAACCTTCCTTCCGAGGAGTGGCTGATGGGTTTGAACCACCAGCCTTCTGGTTAGCAGTCAAGTGCCTTAGCCACTATGCTACCAGAGCTCCCAAAAAAACAAAACAAAAAAAAATTGGAGGCCTCTCTGAGCAGTGCCTAATAAAATATAGTCTACAGAAAGTGAACAGATTACTTTGTCTCTTTATTTGCTTGTTTCATACTTTATCTCTGTTGAAAAGTTCAGATTTTAAAGTATTCTGCAGCAGTGCTTCTCAAACTTGACCTTACATACAGTTCACCTGGGGGGTTTTATTCAAATAGTGGTTGTAATTTGGCAGGTCTAAGTAAGGTAAGGCCCTAGAGGCATCCCCAGGTGATGGTAAAGTTGCTGAACTACCCTTTGAGTAGTAAGGGTCTACACACAAAGTGAAAGATTCCTCTGTGAAACTAGAAAGGTGGTCTGAGGCCTTATACTGGGATATTGTTTTCCATTTTCCCTTTATTCCGACACAAATCCTTGAAAGTTTGTACAAGGCCGTGATTCCCTTCTGAGGCCTATTAATACTCAATTACAGTTAATCTTAGCGTTTAGCTTTTTAAATCATGGCCCAAACTTTTCCAGGAGCTACATTTTTATGTGTATCGACAAATTGAGGTGCTGAAATATGTTCTTATTAAGTGTGAACATAATTCGTGATGTAGAATTATCATAAGTGCTGCATAGCTGATAGAGTAACTGCTAGCCTGTTTCCTGGTCTTCTTTACTCAGTCTGCCACAAGTAGGGACTCGAGATACCCCAAATCAGCAGGGTCACAGGTGTTGGTATTTCCAGGGAGGGGAGCCCTTCTTGGTATTTGGTTGTTGTTAGGTACCATAGAGTTGGTTTCCATTCAGAGTGACCCAGTGGTTTTCTAGGTTCTATGAATTGGCCTGGGGAAGGCCCAAGTAAAGGTAGGTGCCTGAACCCTGAAATGAACTGCTGGCTTGTTTCTGTATGGGTGCTCCACAAAGGCAAATGCTGGTGGAAAGGTGACATTCTTTGTTGGAGATCATGACTTGTGGTGCCTGCTCTCCTTGTGTGCTCACAGGTCCAAACCTTTCCTAAGTCTTACTGGGTTTTTCCTTTCTAAATATCTCAGATTATCTGTACCTGTTTCCCTGGCTGTCACCTGTCATGGCTCTTTTCCATTCCAGGCCCTAATCAGGACAAACCTGAGTGACTAGACTGTTTTGTGCCCCCTCTGCCCCCACCATTCCCAGGCATGAATGTCAGATCCTCTTCAGTAACTGATTTGATCTATATTTGGCTATAGTCCCAGCTCTTCCACTTACTGGTTAGGAGACCTCTGGCTAGTCACTTAATGCTACTGGGTTCTAGTTCTCCACATCTGCAAAATGAAGGAGTGATTATCTCCAAGGTTGCCCTGCTGAGTCTTTGTCAGTACCTTGCTTTGCAACCCAGTGTCTGTAGGAGCTTGTTGTAGCAGATCTGATTTCATTCACGTGCTCCTTTGGGCAGTCTGCCAGTCATTTCCTTGTCCGTGTCACTTCTGCCACTGTCTCTCTTCTAGCCAAAGCAGCCAGCTTGTCCTCACACCCAACTTCAGCATTCTTTTGCCTCCATGTTCTCTGCTACTGTCATGCTGTATTGAATTCTAAACTGCCTCAAATTCTCAAAGAAGTCTTCCTTGAGTTCTCCATTCAGTGTTTGGGTTAGCTGTATCCCCCATCACTGTAAGTTTTCTTTTTTTTTTTTTTACTGTGATTTGGGTGAAGATTTACAGAGCAAATTCACTTCCCATACAGCAGTTCACACACACTTTGTCTCATGACATTGACCACAATTTACTGTAAGTTTTCTTATCTGATGTATATTTAAAAAATGTGTTTCCCTCCTACCCACCCCAGCATTCTTTTTGGCTTTAAATTACTAAGGCAGTTGCATGAAATTTAGTTTGCGTTTGGCTAGAGTTTGGAGAAAGTGAGATGAATGCTTTCAGTCCTCTTCCCCCAAGGTCTCCCATGTCTGTAGGGAGTCAGCTACCTTGAACTTCTTCCTGGATTTAAAAAACAAAACAAAACAACTGGTTGCTGTTGAATAGATTACTACTCATGGCTAACCTCTGTGTGTCAGAGTAGAACTGTGCTCCATGGGGTTTTCAGGGGCTGATTTTTGGGGAGTGAAGGACTGGGCCTTTCTTCTGAGGTGTCTTTGGATGTCTTCCAGTTAGCAGCCAAGCATGTTAACTGTTTGTACCACCCAGAGACTCCCCTGGATTTTAAAGGTGCTTAAACTTCCAATCTGAAATTTGAAAGTGAATCCCAAGTAAAACACCATTTACCAATTCCAAGTGCTCTTCCTGCTTGGGAACACATGCAGAGCCACAAA